ATGAGATGTTTATTTTTATTTTAAAATCAAACGAACAAATAGGAATAAATTTATTATAGAAATAAGAATTCTTTTTTTTTCTTGATACGTTAATAATGATAATGCAAATACCTATGAATGACTAGTTGACATAATAGATAAGATATTTATATATACAAATGACACATACACAAAAAAGAAAAACGGATGCTCGGAATGATCAAAACGTTATTGCACAAGAACAGAAACTAATCGAATGAAAATATGTATATATGTTCATTTAAGATGTTGTTACTGGAGTACGAGATCGATCTTGTTCATCAAGATATTGTGTTAATTGTGCACGTTTCTTTTTACTTAAATGTGACATCATTGTTACTAATGCCGTTCGTTGTTTCGTTGTATATATCTATAAGAAATGAATCAATATAATAATAAAATATAAATATATTTATTTTATTTACTATATTTTCTCGAACCCATTGATCAATTGATTGTTCAGGTAAATAATAAGCTTTTATATAATTTTCAACAAATTCTTTATGTGGTAAAGGTCTAAATAATAAATTCTCATTCTTAGTACTATACACAAATATCAAAGTAAACATACTTCATATCTTCAATAACACGTTCTAATCGTCGTAGTAATTGTTGAAAATCTAATTGCATTAATGCTCGACCTTCATTACTACATCGTTTAGCACTTGCATAACTAAAATCAAAAAGATAATGACTGATTTTTTTTTGTAAATGAATTTTATCTATATACCCTTCAACCATTGTATAGAATATTTTATCTAATATTTGATCCCATAATGTTCTATAAACAGCTTTTGGTATGGGTAATAATTGACCATTAATATGATCTAAACGATTTCGAAATATTTGTAATTCATTTGCAAGTTCATCGACATAGATATTATGTTGTGTTAAAATTTCTCCTATATCCCAATTAACTTTACTAATCATTACTGCTATGGACATATAATCAAGAATATTAGCTGAAACATTATGATAAATTGGAATGCGTAATTCATGTGTTACTTGAACAGTTTGAGAATAAAATTGAGTTAAAAATGTATGTCGTTCAGCTGGTATCATTAATTTTAAATAAGGTAAAAGAAAATCAAATTGTTCAGCAAGAAAAACAAGCGATTCAGCAGCAACAATACGTTGTGGAAGGCCATAAAGAACACTTGATGAACTATTTATATCAACTAATGGAGACAGATGTGCAGCTGGAATTTTTTCCTAAGAATTATAAATTTTATTTATTATTTAAAATAAAACAAAATTTTTCGTCAATAGTGTATAGTCAATAAAGCTAAGAGTCATTTCGTAGAAAAAAATCTGTATCTAAATACATAGTTTCCTAATTTGCCCAAAAATAATTAAAATATTTTTAATTAATATTCAAACGAATACTTACATGAAGTGCTGCTTCGGAATCATCCTAGAAAAAAAAGTACAAATCATTAATTTATATTGTTATTATTATTTGATAGATTTCTTCTTACATTCACAATTAAATTATCACTAATTCGTTTAATTGTAAATCGTAATCTACTACTTAAGGCATCAACTGGAATATCATCCTAAATAAAAAATTCCAGAACGATTATTTTGTTCAGTTGAAAATAAAAAGAAAGATTTTTACCATATCACAAGCAAATAATGTATAAACTGTATAAAGATAATAATCAAAAAGTTGTGTCATGCAAATAATAACATCAAATGCAATAGGTTTAAGCATTTCAATCATTTCCATATAACGACCTTGAATTTGAAAATAAATTATAATGAATAGAAAAAAAAGATTTGTTTACCAAATAATCTGGTTACATTTAAAGTTGTATTTGTAACAATGGTAGATCCATTTTTATCATCGTGATAATGAGAACGATTTCGATACATTGAAGATCTTTTTTGTTCATTTTCACTATCTGATTCCGATGATGAATTCGAATCTGAACGAACTTTTCTTTCCTAAATAAAATCATATGAATTCAAAAAAAAACCCGTTTTTCGTAACAAACATTATGTGAATTTCCATTTAACATATTTTCATCATTAGCATCATATGAATTCGTACTATATTGTGATGGTGAAGACGATAATGTTGTTCGAGTTTGATCAAGATCAAATGGATGTTCACGTTCAGTATATAAATATCGATCAAATAAATCAAAATCAGTTTTTTGATTGAATGATGTAGAAGTTGTTAAATCAGATGCAATAGAAGATGTTTCACGAAGAAATCGAAATTCCTGTAAAAATATAATGAGAATGATTGAAATATACAAGTTAAACCTACATGTAATTGTGTTATATGAAATGTTGATTTGACTGGACACCATTGCCAAGTTTCATTTTCCAAAAACATTTTTAATTCTTCTAAACGTCCATTATGATATGAACGAAAATAAACTATACTTTGTCGTCGCATAGCTTCTTGAAGTATACTAGAATCACTTTGACAAAATTGTTCACCAATTTCCATAAGTCTAGAACAAAAAAAAGATTTTATAATTATTTGTTTTCAAGAGTGGATGAAAAAGATCTGTACCGATTTGTAAGTTTAAGTACTTGTATAAATGCTTCGAATTTAAAATGTGTCATGTTACTTTCGAGAATAAATGTTTTCATTTTTTGTTGAATTTCATGTCATAAAGGACGTGATCCACTTTCAGGTTTTTGGAGAAGAAATTCTTGACTTAGTTCTGGTGTATCATTATCTGTTGCTTAAAAATAAAAGAAGAAAATAATGAACAATCGATTGAGTAACAAATATTATATTCATATTGAGGGTGTGGGTGTGGGTGTTATTAATATCTTAATCCACGGCACCCACACCCGCCCATATACTCATTGCTGAAAGAAAACCTGAGACTTCTGAAACAGCCTATTATATTTGTGAAAAACCAAGTATCAGAAAGAAAACATGCAGGTTAACTTTTAGTATTGTGCTATAGATACGTTGTGAAATATGCGAGTGAGCTAACAAAAATTTGACTCACCAAACGGTTCATTTTTATTCCATTTTGTTTCTAAGTCGTATATTTGTAAATTGGGGACAACCCAGAGAATTCCGTATTTTTTTGTTTGGACGTCGTATAACTTTTCCATCACGGGTGAATATTTGTCAAACATTGAAGAGTTTGATCGAAAGTCTCTCCAGAAATAATTTAATGTACCAGCAAGAAGATCAGCAATCTGAATCATGAGTTCATTGTGTGATTTTGTGAAGATGAATTCAGTAGTTGAATTAATGTCGCATTTCACGTAGTCATCGAGTGGAGTCTTAAAGTCGATATGCGAGTCTGGACCATTTTTTTTCATTGAGTCGACTATTTCGTTGTAAATTTTACCAAACTGATGTTGATCATCATGGACGATGCGTAATGGATAGTTTGGTGTACTGGTGGAACGATACTTTTCGCATCTTGCGACTAATGAGTGCAGTGCAGGATAGTTTGGAAGCAGATAAAATTGCTTATCATGTTTGTTCATGTCGGGTGATGGTAGATATATTTCCAGGGAATCACTATGTGCTGCTTCAGAATCAGCTAAGTACTTTTTTTGCGTTAGCTGTACCAGTTGTTTTAGATCTTGATTAGAAATGTAAATCTTCGGATAACTTCTTTCATCAGGAAATGCTATTGGATCAGTGGTGGATTGAGAAAAATAGTCGATGAGGTGAGAGTAAATTTTAAGAAGTGATTCTTTCGTATATGGTTCAGCGTCGGACGATGTTATTGTAATACTTGAGACAGTAGCAGTAGTATCAGTAGTAGTAGTGACGTGTTCAGCATCAGTAAAGCACGTAGCCTTTCTTTGTTTTTTGTCACGTCGTCGAACAATTCCATTGATAAACACCTGGTATACGCTGTCTGGAAATTGTTCATAAAAATCACCTGATAGTTTATGACGAAGAGCAATTATTGCATCTGGTTGTGTCAGAAGACAATTCAATGACGGATTGTTGTCGACATAATAATGCTGTTCACCGGGAACGCATCTTTCATTAAAAGCAAGTGGATTCAGAATAATATATTGAATAATCTTTGTGACGATGAAATATTTCTTATCCATTAAATCCATGAAAATTGGAATATTGTTAACTAATAGATAATTAATTAAATTAATGACGAAGTCAGGTTTGTCATAGTAAAGTTTACTGGCTTTGAGTTCGGCTACAATTTGGTCCGTAGGTTTGTTTTTGTTCACAGGTTTGTTTCTGTCCATAGGTTTGTTTTCGTCAATATAGCTGACTAGTTCCTGTTTTTGAGTAGGATTCACGAAAATGCCCGCCAAAACATAATAGGGCTGAGGATTGTCTTTCGTCATAAAGTTGAAACTGTTACCTGACATTGTGACTTCCCCAGTTTCGCCACTTTCATCAATGTATAAAGTTGAATATTCAACAGGATATGACATCATTTAATATCTGAAAAGAAAAGAAATAAATGAGATGTTTATTTTTATTTTAAAATCAAACGAACAAATAGGAATA